AAAGAAACACAAAAGACACAGCCAACAGCGCATTTATGCAACAACAAGAACATAATTATAATTATGTAATAGTAAATCATCATCAAAAAGTGCCTGTTTGCAGAGATTCAACACATTCGCAATAGACTAATAGAGAACAATCTTAATATTTTATTATGTTTTGACCCCAATCAATGTGTTCCACTTAATCTGAAGAAATGGCAATTTCCCATTTTGAAATTATACATATGCATATAAGATTCGACTGTTTGAATTTAAAGAAAACTTTGACCACTCGGGCCGTTAATAAGTACTTAAAGACATTTTCTACAGTTTTAGGAAAATTTAACCCTTTCATAGAATTTTTTTATTTTTCTGTATTATAAGTAAAATTCAATGATGAATTCAAAAATGAAAAAAAAAATATATGTTGGCGTGTTGGTTTTTTTGCAAAATGGCAGTTTCCATGGTAACGGTATATCTCAAAATGGTTAAAATGGCCATATTTTCTATAAAATTAAAAAAAATGTTTCAGACAGCTAAATATACACAACAAACATTATTTTGTACATATATAACTTTATCATTTAATTCTATATGAAGTAAACAATGACTTGAACATATTTCTTTACAAAATGACTTTTTCATATTTCTCAACTTGACAAAAAATTAGAAAAATCACTATGAATTCTGTAAAAAAATAAAGATATAAAAAAAACCCTTTCATAGAATTTTCTATATCTTTCATATGTTATGTAAAATTCAATGGTGAATTCAAAAATGAAAAAAAAATATATGTCGGCGAGTTGGTTTTTCGGCCAAATGGCAGTTTCCATGGTAACCCAATATCTCCAAAATTTCAAAATTGCCACATTTTCCTTATAAATCAATAAAAAAGTACATGGCAACAAAATATCAACAACAAACAGGACTTCATACATAAATATCTTTATATTTTGATGCTGTATTGATTCAGAACATATCTATTTCTCTACAAAATAAGTTTTTCATATTTCTCAACTTGACAAAAAATTAGAAAAATCACTGTGAATTCTGTAAAAAAATAAAAATATAAAAAAAAACCCTTTCATAGAATTTTCTATATCTTTAATATGTTATGTAAAATTCAATGGTGAACTCAAAAATGAAAAAAAAAATATATGTCGGCGAGTTGGTTTTTCGGCCAAATGGCAGTTTCCATGGTAACCCAATATCTCCAAAATTTCAAAATTGCCACATTTTCCTTATAAAATCAATAAAAAAGTACATGGCAACATAATATCAACAACAAACAGGACTTCATACATAAATATCTTTATATTTTGATGCTGTATTGATTCAGAACATATCTATTTCTCTACAAAATAAGTTTTTCATATTTCTCAACTTGACAAAAAATTTGAAAAATCACTATGAATTCTGTAAAAAAATAAAGATATAAAAAAAATCCTTTCATAGAATTTTCTATATCTTTAATATGTTATGTAAAATTTAATGGTGAATTCAAAAATGAAAAAAAAAATATATGTCGGCGAGTTGGTTTTTCGGCCAAATGGCAGTTTCCATGGTAACCCAATATCTCCAAAATTTCAAAATTGCCACATTTTCCTTATAAAATCAATAAAAAAGTACATGGCAACATAATATCAACAACAAACAGGACTTCATACATAAATATCTTTATATTTTGATGCTGTATTGATTCAGAACATATCTATTTCTCTACAAAATAAGTTTTTCATATTTCTTCACTAAACAAAAAAAATTAGAAAACTGAACATGAATCCTGTAAATAAATAAAGATATCAAGAAATTTCTTTCATGAAATTTTCTATTTTTTTAATATATTATGTGAAATTCAATGGTGAATTCAAAAATAAAAATAAAAATATATGTTGACGTGTTAGATTTTTTATAAATTGGCAGTTTCCATGGTAACGGCAAATACCAATTATGTCAAAATAAGCATGCTTTCTTTAAAACAATAAATTGTACCAAATGCATTGTTATATATAATTATACAAACTTATTACAAATGACCTTTTCTTTTGATGTTATATGAAGTGAATCTGAACATTATTTTTTAAACAAGTCTACCATATTTATTTCTTTTCAAAGTATCTCGACAATAAAATCATTTCAAAAGTAAGTATTCCACAAACAATGAAAATACTTGAACAAAATATTGCTTTCATAAATTCATATAGTTACTATGTTCTTATGGTTATTCTTTAAATGCATTATTCAAAATAAAATACTATTAAACTCTTTAGTAACAGACATGCATTTTTCTAGTTTCCATAGTAATCATTCCACTAATTATACAAAAAGTAGCAAATTAAAAAAAAAGAAATTTTTCAAGAACACTGCTTGAAATAATCATGTTTAGTTTAGTACATATTTCTAGACAATTGCAGTTATGTTGATACTAACTTTGTTCAACTGTTTATTTTATTGTAACCACATGTATATTTTGCATTAAGGAGTTACACATATCAATGTACACATAGATTTGAGATGTTTATAAGTTCAAATCAGAAGTCGGACATACATAACTGAACACTCTGTCTATTATTCTCTTGGCAGAGGTAACCCTCACTTTTCCATTTACTTTCTCCGTAAATAATTTGTATAAACCATCGCGACCTCCACGATTTACTGCCAGTCTCAGATGTGCTAACGACAAACCACTTTTGGCTATTTTCATTGCCATTTGTTTACTTACAATTTTTTCCTGTTGCATATTACTTAGAGATACCAAGTTTACATCAGCTTTCTTTTCAAATATGTATGTGTCTATTGCTGCATCCATTGTTATACTATGACAACACATCTGGTCAAAGGGTATTTCAGTATATATGATAAGTTTCTGTAAACTACACACATCTTCAAGGGCATTATGAGCAGAATATTGAGCATTCATTAAATTCTTTACAAGATATTCTTGACTATATTTATCTAAACCTGGAAATTGTTCTTTACACAAAGGCAGAGTATCCACAAAACCTATTACACAGTTTTGAAAAGAGGTTAATAAATTACATAGTTCAAATGACCTTACTAGCCTTGGGAAGTCAAAAATTCTAAAATTATGACCTATCAATACACATGGATTTCTTTTTTCTAACCAAAGTAAAAACTGTTCCAAGGCTGTTCTTAGAGACACTGCATGTACTGGCTTTCCTTTGTAGCACAGCATATTATTTACCACTGTCAATCCAGTCACCTGTGTTGCTCCAAGAGTTATGGGTTGAGTTGGAAGAATATACTGGTTGAAGTTGTCTTTCCCTGACACAGCGGCTATTTGTGTTATATCACATGATTTATAAAGACTTGTTGTCTCAATATCACAATAAACATGTGAACAGTCAGTGTTGGTTTCTATTTTTTTTTTGCTCTGTAGCTGAAATTGGTTTTGGTATTTCAATAATATCAGTTTCATTGTTACCTATTAAGTCGATTGATGATTGATAAGTTACACCTTCTCTTAACTCGTTTTGTGCGTTTTGTTTACTTTTGTTCATTTTTTTTTCAATTTTTCTTTTTTTAAAAGTAAGCGTATTTTCAAATTCTAAACGACTTTTTCGTTTATTATCCTTTCGTTCAGCATGTTTTGAATAGAATTTTCCTGGAGATATACCAATTGATTTGTTCACCTGGGAAACATATGTTGAGCCTAATTTTTTTTCTGCAACAACACAATTAACTCTGTTCTGTAAGCTACTTGTTGAAGAATAATGGCAACGTTTTGGTGCTTTTGATGCTATCATATTGTTGAAAGACTCTACATCTTTTGTTGATGCTGCTGGTGATATTTTATCAACATTTTTTATGAAACTTTCAAAAATTGAGCTTAAATCTGTACGGAGCTCCTCACCGACTAAGTCTCGACCATAGGGCAAAGAACTGTGTTTGTATTTCTCTGGATCATTAATGTAACCACACCAAGTATCATTGCAATTTTCATGTAATCCGAAAGCATGTGGAACAATTTGATTCAATGCTTTTGCAAGCCCCTCCGAATTGTTTTTATTCTGGGCTACTGCATAGCTGAAACATTTTTGAATATATTGAATTACTTTTGTTGTTAGGCACTTGTGTTTTTTTTGCAACGCATAAAGGCTGTTGCCAAGATGCTTTCTTGTGTGATTCATATCACTCCACTTGACAAATGAATGGTTAAGCGTTTCTCGAAGCTTACTAGCAGTTGTTGTGTCATCATCCATTATCAATACACCCACTTGTACGTTTTTATTTTGTTCAATGTTCATTACAACTTGGGCAGCAACATCTGGTTCCATAGATTTTGAAGACCCATCCCAATTTTTGCTACACTTGTGGTCAGGTGGAAACTGCCCTTTGTTTATATGGTAAGTACATTTTCTGCAGTCTTTGGACCGAACACCAAACCCACATACTTTTCCAGATAAATTTCCTATCATTGTCCCGACACCAGATTTACTGTCGTATGCACGACCGGCTCCACGCTTTTGCCATCCCATATCATACTTAAATTGACCCATCACTGGAGTGGCAACATCACATTCTCCAGGGCTTTAAAAAGAAAGGCATCAAATTATTAAATGATTTTCAGTAGATAGTAGAATTACAATTTATGGTTTTACTTTGAAGTTATCAAGATATAATTTCAATGTAATAAACCAAACTATATTTTAATGCGAATGAATTAAATTGAATTTATAATTAATGAATGGAAATTTCCTTAGAAGAACACACTTTTTAAAACAGATTTTTATGATTATGGGGAACACATAAAGCTTTGTAAATATTATGTCAAAAATAAAATGAGCCGTGTCACGACAAAACCAACATAATGGGTTTGCGACCAGCATGGATCCAGACCAGCCTGCGCATCCGCAGTCTGATCAGGATCCATGCTGTTTGCTATCAGTTTCTCTACTTGTAATAGGGTTTGTAAGCGAACAGCATGGATCCTGATCAGACTGCGCGGATGCGCAGGCTGGTCTGGATCCATGCTGGTCACAAACCCATTATGTTGGTTTTGTCGTGACACGGCTCAAATGTTATTTAAGAAATGGCACAGAACATGTTTTTTTAATGTAAACCTTATGATTTCATGATGTCACCAAAATGAATGCAATGTTACATGGCAAAGTTGCTTAAATCACTAAACACCATTAAACTCAAGGCTAATATTTGGATATTTACAATTCAGACATTGACAATACATTTCTGATGTTCATTTATTAATCATCAATTATTTCAACTATTGTTAAAGGAACTATGTAGATGTCATTCTTGCATATTATAGTTTTCCTTTAGAATATTAAATATTATTCTTTTAAACAATTCCTTTTAATATCAGAACAATTAACATGATTTGTGGTATCATTTGTGAATCATGAGCTTTGAATCACCACCTGGACCATCACATAACATTAAATAATATAATTCAATCTTGGACAATTTTACCTGTCATTTTCTTTCTGAAGTTCTATTTCTTCATGTATAGCATCAGAACAAGACCTACGACAAACATTTTCAATATGAGGTTCAACTTCAAGTTCCCGTTTCTTCATTGATGTGTGATGGAGGCCTTCAATTTCCAGAGCTGACATAAAATTTTCTACTTGTGTATGACCTGAACCACTGTGCATCATTCCTGTGAACATTGAAATTACATGTAAATTAAATATGTCATTATGTGCAAAATTATATTCACATTAATGCATACTATGTCTTCTCTAATTTTAACACTTTAGAAATAAAATGTTTATTACTCATAAATACGACAGATAGCGTTTTTGTAGAATTTACAAGTACTGTATGTTACTTTCCAACTTCAATCCAATTTCATTTAAAAATTAATTATAAATTACTTAAATAATTATGCAAAACAATCATATTACAAGTACTTAGGTAGAAGGGGGGGGGGGGAGTGTTGACAAAGTCCAATAGCTGAAGAGAGATGTTACATCACTTAAAAGAATGACATTAAAGCACATTAATTGTCTAGGAAATAAAGGAAAATAAAAATTGAAAATGATTTTTGATAAGAATATCTTTTAGTAAGACAAATCATTTTCCTTATAAAGAATGTAATTCAAAATTATTGAACATAGGACTGATAGACAGCACTATAAAAAGGAAATGTGAGCAGAAAGACTAAAGCTGTGACTAAACATTATCCTTGCCAATTATTTATTTATTATATTTAATACACATAAATTTTGTAATTTACAAAATTAAAAGTATTTTGATTTAGATGTATAAATGATGAAAACATTCAATTGACACACTTCAATTTTAGATGTAACCGGAAATAAACAGAATTTTGGGTCTTTAAACACATAAAAATGAAATTTTGTTTATAAATTTCAATTTTACATCAAAATTGTTATAAACCCTGATCAGTCGTTGTAAAGTGTTCTGCCTTGAACAGTGTAGACCAATATCACACAATGGCAAAGGAGTAATGCTGTTTTAGTCTATAAATATATAAACAAGTAGCAGAAAATGTCTAGTGTTATCTATAGCAGGTTACAGGTGTGTTAGACTTTAGAGGTTAGGTATATATAAAAATATCAATTTCCATCACCACATCAGTACAAGCTATGAACACAACACTTACACTTACATTTTGATAATCCTTCAAAACAAGTTGCTGCAAAATAATGTATGTGTCAATACAGCAAACTAATATCATCTTTAAACATTTAGGTACCATAATCATATTAACCAAGATTACAAGTCAAGTAATGGTTACCCAGAATTTATAAAAAAGAGGAACTTTGTTGCTGGTCCCTAATAGCTTTCTCAACTGCCTGGTAATTAATGACATAAATATGTTGCTTTTAATTTACTTTCAAGTGGAAAAATAACTTTATAACACAAGATCGGCAGAATCTGTTACCATTTTCACACCTCTTCATGAAATTTACAAAAATTATGTTTGCCAATCCTGGTTTTTCACCACAGTTACATATGTGGTGACCGCTCAGAATGTATAAAGATGGGGGTAGTGTAGTACTCAAAATTTAAGACATAAATCAGTGTAGACTATGTTGTTTGCTTGCCATTATTTGTTAAAACCCCAGTAGGATCTCAACATTATTTACTTGGCTTAAAAAATTGTAAATTAATTTAGTTATTTTTTTTTAAATTTTGATTTGAATTAAAATTGAATATTGTGTATGTACATACCAAGGGCCGCTTTAGTATTTACATCAAATACAGCTGGTCCCCGTTTTCCAGTACGATGCGTCTTGCCAGTTGTTACTTCTCTACATGATCCACACTCGCATTCAATCATTAGCAATGACCCAAAGCCATATCTTGTCTCGTTAACTACATTTTCTAGAAGAATAGACTTTCCGCAGTCTACACAATAAAGTTGCTTGGCTAAATGCGTCAATTCAACAATGCGTCGACCAGAAGTGTCGACTGGGTCTATTTTAACAACATCTGTCTGCTTGACAAAACAATCGCTACTTGTACTAGTGGGTGGGGTAACGGCTAATGAATCGGAATCAGTGTCGTTTAACTCAGGCTTATCATATACCTGTCCCTGATGTGTCCGGTATTGCCGTAACGATTCCGTTATCCGTCTAGCACGTTCTATGTTGGACCTTTTAGCAAAAGTTCCTTTGATTCGGTATAGTTTATTCATCATTCAAAAATTGGAAACGGTTATCCGAATATCGTTCCACTTCCCTTCTTTTGAAGAGTAACTAGCCGTGATTATCTTCCTTGGATGCGCAATAAATTGCGCAGAAAAAACTACCGAAAACGTCTTTAAGGCAGATATCATTTTGTTATCTGCTCCAAGCATGATCATTAGTTGCAGAGATAGCTCAAATCTGTAGAAGCTGTTTCAATAAATCTGGATGCAATCTAAATTATATGTGTGCCTTATCATAATACGTTAAACTTCTACGCTATTTGAACGCTAAAAACTCGACATTATTTTATGACTAACATAAAATTATGAACACTTTCAAAAGCAGAAAGATAAATGTTCCTCATATCTAAATTTATCTTGAATAATTGCTACGTTTCCTTTAGATGCGCAGTTCCAGGTAAAAGGGTAATAAATAAATTTATCATAATAATGCATAATTTTCAAATTTCTATTTCCAAAAGCGTAAATAGAATTGTCAAATCAATCAAGATTAAGGCAAGTAAAATCAGTAAGGAACAGAACAGAACATAATTTTATTTTGGATTTGTACATAGTACATCATCACTGCAATATAAATACACACATTGTAAATATGTCACGTTTCTATTTAACAAACAATAAAGGATTTAATATATAGTATTGAATTCCATGTAAAGCTGGAGAATGAACAATTCTGAATTAAGAGAATATTATTATCACTTGTAATATAATTTCCTAAGCAGAGTATAAACATATTTGATACAACAAATCAATCGAAGTTTGAGTATAAATTTGTAACAAATATAAAATTTAGGTGTTAGTACTAACAAAAGTGTTCCTGATTTTAATCGATTCTCTCAGATATTTAGCTAGATTCGTAAGTATAATTTTATTATTAGAAGAAATCAGCTCAATAAATTTACACAGTGATGGTCTTTTGTAATAATATTGTTTCACATATTTTTCCTTATGTCTACATAGCATGGGCATATCAAAACAAAATGGTATTCATCTGCCAAATCCATAGTATTACAAAATAAACAATATCTTTCACTCCTTGGGATTCTATTTTGCCCATATCTACCCGTTTGTACCCTTAGTGTATGTGCAGACATTCTAATTCTTGTGATGTAAAATCTAAGATTCTTAGGCAATATGTTAAGGTAGTTTTCGTATGAAAATAATTCTACAGTTCTAAAACAGAATTATTTTCTATAGATGAATGCCAAGTTTGTATACAATTATCAATAACTCTTTGTTTAAATAATTTTGGAAATGATTTACTATCTACAATATTATTTTCAAAAAAGTATTCGGATAAACCATACATATCTAGCATTTCTTTGACATTTGACACCCAGTTCTTTTTACCTTTGTATCAATCAGATAAACTTAATTCATATATTTTCCGTAAAATTATATTGTTAGTATTTATCAATTTGCACCAAAATTTAATTATTTAATGGGTAACGGCCGAGTTCGCCGTATATACTGACATTGCTTGTATTGGCTCTAACATTTAAAATTCTTTTACAAAATTTCAAGTGAATACGCTCAATATCTTTTGACTTGCTATAACCCCATACTTCTAATGCATATGATATGATTGAGCCTACAAAAGAATCAAATAATTGACATAATAATTTGGGTTTTAAATCCATGTCTTTACAATTTATCAATAATGTGTTCATTGCTTTTAAAGCTTTACCGGTTAAATGTTCATTGTTAAGAGAAAAATTGCCTGTATAGCTGAACACTGTACCTAGGTAGTTAAAGTGATCTACTACTTCTATTGGCTGACCGTTATACGTCCATTTTTCGTTGATAAAAATACGCCCTCTTTTTCTAAAAACAACAATTTTAGTTTTCATGGTATTGACCTCTAATCCCCATTTAAAGCGATATGAATACAAAAGATCTAAACTGTTTTGTAAATCCCATTTATAATTTATGTCAACTTTCTCCTGTTGTACAGGTATACGATACATAGTATGCAATGAGAATTCTATAGGGGCGAGGTCGCTAAACTCGTTAACTTGCTGAACACAAAAATGATTGATATTTGAGAAATTTTTCTAATTGGTTAAAACATAATCTATAACAGAAGCACCGTTTTGAGGGACATATGTATACATTCCAACATTACTATCCTTATATAATCTACCGTTAACTAGCCGAACATTAGTTGATCTACAAAGATCAATCAATTTTACACCGTAACTGTTTTATCTAGTGAGGCCCGGTAAATATATTTATCAGGTACATATGATTCATCGTCAAAAGATTGATTTATGCTGTCAAAAATAATGAAATTATGCTTAACACCCACTCGGCTGTTAAAGTCACCTGTTAAGTATACTGACTCCAGGGCTTCAAAATGAGTAATGTCATTTTCAATACAATCAAAAAGGTTTACATTTACTGTATTATAAGCGGGAGAGTTTTCACACCATAAATAGACACCACATATATAAATATCTGCTTCATTATGAAAAAGTTCTTGTCTAATTCTATCCATATTAAAGTGTCATACCTATTTTCAACAATTGTAATACCATCCGATATCGTCTCTTTATAATACAGTGCAACCCCTCCACTGGGCCTTTTAGCATTACGATGCTTAAATTTCCTGTAAAAATTGTGTGTTACATATCCATTTAAATTTATATCACTAGTTTTGTGTGCAAATGTTTCAAACAAAAAAACAATATCATGTTTACGAACAATGTAAATAAGTTCAATATTGTCTCTTTTTGATTTGTCTAAACCATTTATATTCCAAGAGAGTATATTGAGTTCATCTCCATCGAATTCCTAGTCTCTGATTGGTTTTCCGTCGATGTAAAGGGTGTCATAGGATATCCATGAAGTCCTGCCTTGTTCCCGGGCTGCTTTCATTCTTGGTAAAAGTCTCTTCCTTTTATCGACTACTTCTTTCGGCAGTTGTTCATTCACGACGATCGGTGTACCCGTAAGCGTTTTCCATTGTTTCCTTACGAATTCTTTCTCTTTGTAGAGAGTAAACTTGGCGACAATATTGCGATATCCACCATTTCTATTATGTCCCATGCGATGCACTCTTTCAAAAGATAATTTATCCACATGATCTTGTGCAATTTTCATTTTGTCAACGAGAAATGATCTCAACTGTACCTCCGTGTCCTCGTTTTTCTCCTCAGGGGCCTCTGGGATATTGGTAAAGACGAGGTTATTTCGCATTGATTGAGCCTGTAAGTAGGTCAATTCGTTATGTAGGTCACCTTTCTGTACTTTTTGTAATTCTTCGCAGAATGCGTAAAATATACACTTTTTTGGCCACACTTTGTTCGTAAATTAATTGATGGTATTGTATGATTTCCTTTATTGAATTGTTAATAATTACGCATTGTCAATTCCTCACCTTTTTTCCTTCTCCTGTGTTTGTTTGGCGTTCTGTTGGACTGCTTGTCGATCATCTTGTGTTGCAATTTTGGTCGAGGGAGGGGGTGGAAGGGGTTGAGAGTGGTACGTTCATATAATAACATTTTATCCGTTCTTCGCCTTTTTTGTTTGGCGCTCTGTTTGGCTGCTTGTCGATAATTTTGAGTTGCTTTTCTGTCGGCCGGTGGGGGGGGGGATGAAGGGGCAGTGGTGCGTTCATTAAATGAACATTGTCATTAAATTTTCAAAAATGTGAGACAGATTGAACAGTATTTTAATCTCTGGACAATTGACAGAATCAGTTTAAATGTACAAGAGAAGCTATTCTTCAATTAACAATATATTCATAATGCCAATTCGATTGGTCAAATGTCAGACAAAATACAATGAGCGATTGCTATTGCATATTTAACGTTTTACAATTGAAATTGTAAATATAATAGTAATTATATACGCACATATATTTGTCGAATTCTAATTTGCTTAAACACTTTCTTTACTACACCGTATAAACTGAAACAAACTATGGTGGCTGAGTCATGCTATATCGTATATTTGCTCAGCGGGCGAAAAACAAAAACAAACCGAGAACACCAAAATATGACAAAGGAATCAATTTTATGTAAGTAAAATAACTTCTGTTCAAACTTCTCAAAAAGTCATATTTGCAAATGTTCGCAATATAAACCATGCTTTTAATGCCATCATGCGCGTATTTCAATAAAATGAAATAATAAACTACTGTATATTTAGCAGCAAAACATAGTTTATTTCAAGCATTATTGCTATAAAAGTAAATTGAATAGCTCAATAAAAACAAGTAATAAGTTAAGAGAAAAATAAGAGAGCGTTAAGAAAATAATCATTAATCTTATCAACATTGGATAATAATTTTCTAAATGATTTTTTGTTTTTAAATCATTTTTCAAAATGTTCATTTACATTAATCAGAGAGTGATTATTTTATCATTTTTTTTTTTTATAAAAACCGCGCTTTTTCTAAGGCTTTCAATCACGCTGCCCAATTTTATGAGAAAATGTTTAGTCGGTGGGAACATTGTTGTTGTTCGAATTAAGACATCAATTTGTATTTAAGGTATAATAAACTTCTTCCATGATTATACATGTTGCAAAAACAACATCACCTACCCCAACCCCCCAAAAACAACAAAAAACAACAACAAACCCCAACCCTTCAAAAAAAATATAACACATGAAGTGGTATGTACCAACTGCCAATGACATCCCCTGGCACCGTCTTAAGCTGTATTCAACATTAAGAATGATTTTTAAGCAACTCTTTTAGTATTACAATCCGAATATGTATATTAAAAACTTCGTATTAAGTCAACAAAAGATAAAAGAACAAACAAATAAAACTAAATAGAATAATTTTATTTTGATGTATATACAATTTCAATCAAGGTTAATCGTCTGTTTAACATGTGTTGAATATTTCAAGTTTTGAAAATTTATTCAGAAACGTTGTCCCATTTCTGATTACCACAGAAGTTAAAGTTGAATATGGGTTATATAATCTTAATATTGAGCAAAAATCTTACACGTTAGTTTGTAATGATATTGTACGTTAAGATTTAAATTGTGGTATTAAAAAGGTGTTTAATTTTCCTAACCATAGAGCATTTGCAATTCATTATTTAAAATGTATATTTCATTTATTTTCAAACCGTTTTTATACAACTTAAATAACTT